CATTCATCACATCACAGTTAAAGTGTTCAAATCTCGCATTTGCTATTATACTGCAGCTATTCTTTAAAAGAATCTCATAAAAACACCAAAATATAGAAAAGGAGAAATAAACATATAAGCAAAACGGAATATTACAGAAACAATATTGTTGGAGTTTTCAAAAAAACAAGCAGAAAATCATAAATTGCTCTTCGCTGAGCACTACACAGGCACATTAAAAATCAATTAAATAATGTCACAGGATTATTTACGATAAAAGTGCCCATAGGAAACTATGTTGGCTACACTGTGTTACAGTAATGCAGAAGACGGGTATTAACATTACTTATATTCACAGCTAAAACGTATAATAAAATAACCATCCTTCTTTCAAATGTTCAAAAAAGCCTCCTTAGCATTTTGGAGAAAATAAACAATGCATACAATTTCAAAAATAACAGACAAAATCTCATCAATTCAACAACCTTTCAGATTTAGTGACCTGCGGCATTATGACAAATGTTTCATTCTTGAAATTAAAAAGGCTGCGTTTATGAATCAAACCATATAAGCATCACTTGAAAATTAAAACATGAGCTTTCGAAAAAAGAATGGCTGCTGTGAAACACTTGTAAGTAGGACAGTCCAGGGTCCTCTGAGTTAATACACCACAGATCACAGATCAGCTTAATGATTTGGCCAAGAGATCATGTCTATAGCCAGCCTCATAATATCATAGTTATTAATTTGTTGCCTGGAAAGCCCTCAGAGCCTTTATTTTCATTTGCTCTGAACTGTCAGATTCGAGTGGAGAGATTTTTAGGACTTTGTCCATTTTGGTGAAGTGAAGGTAGCCAATTATTGTCATCATTGCCCTTGAAAATGCATTACGCCTCACCTGAGGGCTCACTCAATCAAAGAGACTGAAGGGGCGATTAACAGATGACTTCTGACCTTAATCCATCGCAAAATCACCCAAAAGAGTCAGACAGCAATCAACATTTCTCACTCAGTTTCATGTTTCAAACTTTCTTATCGTTGACATATAACCTTGGGCATCATAATGGCCATTTTGGGTTCGGGACCTTGAACATTGTTTTTCATTATTATTTTCTGAAAATGGATTTGCAAGTGATTAAAAAGAGAGCAAATTTCAAGTTGTCAATCTCTTTGCTTAATTTCTATGAAAAACGTGTCAGTTTCATAATTTAATTGGTAACACTTTACTTGAAGTCCCCATATTTAGCATTTATTGGCAGTATATAAACATTTAATAAATGGTGTACAACACTATAATGTAGTAAGCAGATATAAGTACATTTTAAAGTGTTTATTAATGTACAGTATTTGTCAAGAATTATAATTTCTACTATGAAGACGTAGTATTCAACTGTCTATATTGTCTTATCGGTTTCTACAGCAGCCTCCATTTAGTGTCCACAGGAATGGTTACAGTTGTTGAAAAATCTATTAATAATCACTTATATCTGCGTAACACTACATTTACAGTGCATTATAAACCATTTATTATACATTTATATGCTGCTCATAATAGCTGGACTTAAGGTAAAATGTTACTGTTCTAGGGTTTTAAATAAGCTCAATTAAGGGAAATTGAAAAAAGCCACAGTATGGTTAATAAAAATAAAAATAAAGAAATTTCCCGTCTTTGTATCATTCTGTCTGGAACTACTTTACGAGCTCCAGTTTTGATTTAATTTAAACAAGCTCATTGTGCCTTCTGTCAAGCTCTCTCTGGTGTATTGTAGGCCTGGCATTAGCATGCTTCCTCACCTGGGGAACGTGAAAGATGAACATGAGTCAGGCATCATGTTCTAGTGATCGCCTTTTCACAGATTTTTTTCCCCCCTCACCCGAATAATTAAAACGAGCACTAAGCCAGTGAATATACTGCCTTGATTTTCTTTTTTTAGGAAATGCTTATGAATAACTCTTTTTTTTCTCTTTGTCTCCCTGTTTTCCCCTCTCCAATATCTCTCCCTGGCTTTTTCTTTTTTTATCACGCCCACCTTCCTCTCATGTTCTGCAAACCCCCCGGCCCCCCGCAGTCCAGCCACTGTCTCGCACATCCTGCCCCTCCATCCAGTTTCCCCTTCTCCCTCTCCATATTCCTCTTCATACGCACTCTACCCCTCTCTTCCCTCTCCCCCAACTCGCTCCTCTTCCTAACCCAACACCTCTTCCCCCTTTCCTTCACTCACCTAACCCCCACCCCCACCCCCTCCATAGGTACGCCTCCATCCCCTCTTGGCAGCTCCATCTCCTCCTCGCCTCCCCCCTGTCTCTCCTCCCTCTCCCTGGTTGGTTTCCACAGCTGTGGTGAGTGAGGGGCAGATGACCGGAGAATTGGCCCCTGGGAGAGCGCTGAGCCATCCTGGTGCTATTAGGCTCGTGGCTAATAATAGGTGTTTCAGACCAGGGGAAGATCAATCAGGGGGAATCATGGGGAATGTTCGGAGCAGCGCTTTTTACACATCGGCCCAGATGGATGAAATTACACTTGTCAGTTTTTAGTTGCATTACTCCCAAATTGGTTGTCTACTCTTTTTTTCTCTCTCCCTCCCTCCCTCGCTTTCTCTCTCTCCTCTCTTCTTTCGCTCTCTTTGCCCTCCTTCATGTGTCAGTGGCCTGCTAAAGGGATTCGATGGTGAAATCCCTGTCATTTTTGTCTTTTCCCTGTTTAGCCCTCAGCCAGCAGCTCTGTTGCCTGCATATGCACTTAGGAGAAATCAGTTTAAGATGTTGTCTTATGGCTTGGGCAATTTCCATGTTTAAGGCAATTGTGCAGCTGACATCCTGTATGTGGTCTGCATGTAGAATAAAACGCTTTCATTGACACAAAAGGTACAGTGAAAAACAAGTCAGTCAACAGAAAATGGCATCGGCAACTATTTTTATAACTGATACATTATTTCAGAGATTTTTCAAACCAAAATGCAAGATTTTGTTACAGCTTTTTCATTGTGTGCATTTGCTGTTTTTGTCTGTTTTATTTCGTTGTAAACTGAATATTTTGGTGTTTCTATATTGTTGGTCGGACAAAACAAGACATTTGAAAGTGTAACCTTGGGCTCTGGGGAACTATGAGGGACATATATTAATTATTTTATACATTTCATAAATTAAAGGATTAATCTAGAAAATAATCTGTCATAGCCCTCGTTCTGTGAGTGTGAAATAAATGGCTTCGAAATATATTAATAAAAAGTGGATTAACACAAATTGATAAATTCATAAATTGCAATAATTTTATTGTAACTGCATAAACATCTTGTCTTGTAATTGACTAATTGTAATTACATCTGCCAGGGGCAAATTAATCTTTCAGGCTGTATCTCACTGTTTGAACAGAATAAAATTCCCTGCACAATGCTCACTCTCTTTGGTGTTTGTTTTAACGCATGTTGATTTTTTGAATGACCCCTGACCTTGTTGCAGACATTTTTAAAGGAAGAACCCAAGCTAAGATTCTCAGAAGGACAAGAAAAACAATTAAACTGTCAGAGTGCAGATCTCCATCAGGCAACAGACGGTGAAACACCTACAATGCCACCACAACTGCCAGATGCAACCTGCAGACCTTTTCCTAGTATAGTATATAGTATAGTGTATAGTGTATTATAGTGTAACTTTTCTCGTATAGATGTATGCATAGTTTTTTAATAAAGTGTTTTGGAATAGTACAGTCTTTACAGGTTCAAATGGCTTTATTTAAATATTTTAACAAAACAGGTTTAATATCCAGAACATAACTTCTTTATAAAGTCATGACGTTAAACTGTCCAGTACATTAGGTGGGAGTATGCACCTTTAACGGTGGTTTGTAGTCCAACAGTAAAGCCATAGAAGAAAAAGACTCCCTTAGAGTCAAGATGGTGGTGAAGATAATAAAAAGTGGGATTATTCATCTTGTATGGTCTAACTTTGGTGGTTTGTAACATATCAGGTATGGAATTAATCTGGAGATTCTACAGTTCAAGAGCTATTTTCTATGAATGCTGGATTTTGAACCACAACAAAGGACAAAATGTGGCCTACAACAGGTTAGGTAAGCCTTGCTGTTAGCCTAACAGTTGTTGATCACCTCGAGTCTGCAGTGGGTATAAAACAGAGCAGTCAATAAAAAGATTTTTCAAAAACTGTGAATCACCCCAACCATAATAGGCTCTTGAGCATGCAGTCATAAATGTGCACAAAAAATATGAGGCTGATTGGTCCAGTAGTATGCGAGATTCACTACAGACAGATACACACAGGGACACACGCGTACACGCAACCAAACACACAAATCCCCTCTGAGCTTGTGCCTGGCGGAGATAATGATGCTAAAGGAGGTTTACATCAGGCATAAATCAAGGCTTTGAGCAGTACAATGCCTCTTTACTATCCCCATCCAAACCCTAACTCCTCTTATGATTGATTGATTTTGACTAAAAAATGTGAAAATATTTCACGGACAAGGCAGTTTAGACTGTGATGGCAGAGCTAGAGATAATTGAATGACCCGAGCTGTAGTTCCTGTGCAGTCCCAGGGACGCAACAAGCTCAGTAAGGTGAAAAGGGCTTTACGCCTGGCTGTGCATGCAAGCCATACGGCACATCATCTAAACCCCCTTATGCTCCTGATGTGTTACATGATAACTAGCACTAGGTGTCAGTCAGAAAGGTGACTATGGGGGCTGAGAGGGATCATTTTGTGGCAGCCACACAACAGCTATTTGTTTCAGTGATTTCCACTTCTGACTAGGTACTGACAGACTAAAATGGTCAGTGTTTACAATGCTTTCCTTCCAACTTGTCCTCACATTATCAATTTCCCCCTGATGTGGCTACTAGCTAAGTGTCCTGGCGCAAAGGGGGGTATGGTATTGATATATTAAAGTGCTTGCTTGTATTACTCCAGTGTAAGGCATGCAGCTACTGCACCCTGCCATCAAAACACTGGCATGACAATCACAGCAGAAGATTGGCTGTGTGCTAAAGTAGCTGCTCTGAATAGCTCACTGGGGAGACATCACCCCCCCAGTCCCAAACTGGAAATCAATACAGCCCCCAGATGTTGGGGTCTCCCAGTCCACGGAGCTGCCTGATGCGGAGATGTTCCTCAATGTCTGATTGCACAACGGAGAAGACTGGAAACAGAAAAAGATTCTTTGACTGAAAGCACAGTGACCATGGGGGAGGAAACCAAGGCCTCTGTGAGAGAGAGTCTCCTTAGCAACGGGAAGAAAATTAACATTGACATCCTGACTTCCCAGCAAAACTCGTCCCAGAGCTTCTGCTGGATATTTCCATGGGGCGAGCAAAAAAATAGAGATGTTCAAAAGCTGATATAAAGACACACTCCCTGCTTGTCATCCATTTATATTGAAATGAGTTTTTCCCCCTCAGCTCGGCTTGTGTGTAGTGAATACAGAGAGTCCTAATGTATGTATTTTGCTCATTTTACTGTGTCTGGCGTTTCCGCGCCTCTCCACTGTGACTCTGTGTTTGCCTCCTGCTGTGGTAAACACAACATTGCTATGATAGCACATGCATTTCAGAAAGCTCAAAACACCGCAGAGGAGCCGAAACATTCATTCTCTCCTCTCTCTCCCTCTCAATCTCTTTCCCCCTCTCCCTCTGCCTCTGTCAGTCCTCTCCCTCACTTCCAGCCAAGGTATTCAGCTCCCATGATTGCAAACATGCATAATGACAGCATCTCCCGGGGGCCAGCGGAGGTACCCCACTGATGCTGAGAGACTCTATCCTGTCGTCACATTGCAGGAAATTTTTGTCGGCAGTGCACATTGGAGCCTGGTGAGCTTTGGCAAGGCACCGCCAGAAGCTGGGCTGGCTGTTTTTTGTTAATAAAATGAAGTGCAAATTGTGCCGGGCTCGTATGCATTGGAACAGCTCACTGCTTCCTCCCATTACGAGGCCAGGGCGAGCGCCATGGAAGCATAAGCGTGAATACATTATAAAGTAATGAGGAAACATCCAGGAGAGGGTCACGGGGGGCGTCAAGCAGCTCCAGAGGCCTCACCAAGAGCTTTCAGTGTGCTCCGTGATGGATTAGTCATTCGCGTTTGAAGAGCGAGCGAGAGGTGGAGTTCAACAATGTTACACATAGCAACAGTTGCTAAGAGTTGCAGCGAGCGAGGCCTATTCAGTTTGTGAATATGTACAGTTGCTGCTGAGCAGGAATATAGGTGAATAGAGATAGAGCTGTTTTGTGTATCAATGATGATGATGATGGTGACATTTGTAACAATGCCACACAATATTCATGAACATGGAAAAACTGCTAGGAACCATGTGGTAGTAGAGAGGATGATAATGTAAACCATTCATAACATAGCAGCATGAGAGTGGTTAAGACAAAATGTCACTGATATTTGGGATTTGAAGCAAATTATGCTTTGTGGATGTAAAAACGACAGCTTAATTCCTGCCGTGGCTGCAGCTGGAGCATATCGTTCTGAAGAATCCCAACCCGTACAGCCTGATACTTGGAAGGTCTGGGGTTGCATGCAAAAAAAAAAAAAGTTATGCAAATCTGTCTGTTTACCTGCAAATCATCCGGCATTATTAGGCTGTATTTTAAACCTAACTGTCCTCAATATGTCACAGAAAACATTGAATTCACAGTGACACACTAAACAGAGAAAGCCAGACTTGAGTACATTATATAGACTCTCCCTGTCAATCATGCATCACACAAACAGGTCACATTCTATACATTCCCGTAGGCTGGGGTGGGTGGTAGCTAGGGGGGTGGGGT